GAGCCCCACATTGGGCTCTCTGCTCAGCCGTGAGCCTGCTTCCCTCTCTCTCTGCCTGCCTCTCTGCCTACCTGTGATCTCTCTCTCTCTCTGTCAAATGAATAAAAATTAAAAAAAAATAGACACACAGATGAATAGAACAGGATCAAAAGCCCAGAAGTAAACCCACTTATATGTAATCAACTAATATTTGACAAAGGAGCCAAGAAGAAGCAGTGGAGAAAGGATAGTCTTTTCAATAACTGGTGTTGAGAAAACTGTTCAACCATATGCAGAAGAATGGAATTGGTTTTCTTTCTTACACCAGTCACAAAAAATTAAGTCAAAATGGATTAAAGACTTAAATGTAAGCCTAGAAATTGCAAAGATACAGGAAGAAAACATAGGACAAAATCTCCTCGACATTGATCTTTGCAAATATTATTTGGGTATGACACTAAAAATGCAAAGACAAAAGCAAAAATCAACAAGTGGAACTACACCACACTAAAAGGCTTCTGCCTAGCAAAATAATCAGCAAAATAAAAAGGCAACCACCAGAAGGGGAGAAAATATTTACAAACCATCTATCTGATAAGGGATTAAAATCCAAAATATATAAGGAATCCATGCAGCTCAATAGCAAAAACCACATATAATCCTATTTAAAAATGGGCAATTGCCATGAATAGACATCGCCCCTCCCCTGAAAATAATACAAATGGCCAATAGTTACATGAAAATGTACTTAATATTATTAACCATCAGGGAAATGTAAATCAAAACCACAGTGAAATATTAATTCACATCTGTTTGCATGGCTAATGTCAAAAAGGCAGGAGAAAACAAGTGTTGGTGAGGATGTAGAGAAAAGGGATCCTAGTGCACTGCTGGTGTGAATGCAAACTGTTGCACCCACTGTGGAAAACAGTATGGAGACTCCTCAGGAAATTAAAAATAGAACTACTGTTGATTTAGCAATTTCATGTCTGGTTATATATCCCTCAAGGCTGTTTCTGTTACATTTACTTGTGGTCAACTAGCTCCTTTCTGGCATTCATGATATTCTTATGTACTCCATTAATATTTTTGCTACCCACTCCTCAAAGACTTATTCACTCAAGCTCTAAACCCCAGGGGACATTCTGAATCTAGTCTAACTTTCTAACCATCCTCATATTTTAAAATTAAAAATAACTCCATTTCTATGAAGCCAGCATTATGCTGATCCCCAAACCATACAAAGACCCCATCAAAAAGGAGAATTTCAGACCAATATCCCTGATGAATATGAATGCCAAGATTCTCAACAAGATCCTAGCTAATAGGATCCAACAGTACATTAAAAAGATTATCCACCATGACCAGGTGGGATTCATCCCTGGGAAGCAAGGTTGGTTCAACATTCACAAATCAATCAATATGATAGAACAAAAATCAATAAGAGAAGAGAGAAGAACCACACGGTCCTCTCAACTGATGCAGAAAAAGTATTTGACAAAATGCAGTGCACATCCCTGATTAAATCTTCTAAAATCTATCTATGAAAAACCCACAGCGAATATATTTCTAAATGGGAAAAGCTTACAGCCTTCTCTTTGAGATCAGGAACATGACAAGGATGCTCACTCTCACCACTGTTGTTCAACATAGTACTAGAAGTCCTAGCAACAGCAATCAGACAACGAAAAGAAATAAAATTCAAATTGGCAAAGAAGAAGTCAAACTCTCTCTTTTTGCAGATGACATGATACTTTATATGGAAAACCCAAAAGACTCCACCCCCCAAACTACTAGAACTCATACAACAATTCAGTAATGTAGCAGGATACAAAATCAATGCACAGAAATCAGTTGCTTTCTTATACACTAACTCACTAAAATATAGAAAGGGAAATTAGAGAATCAATTTCATTTACTATAGTACCAAGAACCATAAGATACCTTGAAATAAACCTAATCAAAGAGGTAAAGGATCTGTGCTCAAGGAACTACAGAAAACTCATAATGCTAAGGAAATGTTGAAAAAGAAAAACAAAACTGGGGGCATCGTGTTGCCTGATTTCAAGTTTTACTACAAAGCTGTGATCACCAAGACAGCATGGTACTGGCACAAAAACAGGCACATAGACCAGTGGAACAGAGTAGAGAGTCCAGATATGGACCTGCAACTCTATGGTCAAATAGTTTTCGACAAAGCAGGAAAAATATACAGTAGAAAAAAGACAGTCTCTTCAATAAATGGTGCTGGGAAAATTGGACAGCTATGTATAGAAGAATGAAACTTGACCATTCGCTTATACCATACACAGAGATAAACTCAAAATGGGTAAATGACCTCAACTTGAGGCAGGAATCTATTAAAATCCTAGAGGAGGGGGCGCCTGGGTGGCTCAGTGGGTTTAGCCTCTGCCTTCGGCTCGGGTCATGATCCCAGGGTCTTGGGATCGAGCCCCGCATCAGGCTCTCTGCTCGGCGGGGAGCCTGCTTCCCCCTCTCTCTGCCTGTCTCTCTGCCTACTTGTGATCTCTCTCTCTCTGTGTCAAATAAATAAATTTAAAAAAAAAATCCTAGAGGAGAACAGAGGCAGTAACCTCTTTGACACTGGCCACAGCAACTTATTTCAAGACATGTCTCCAAAGGCAAAGGAAACAAAAGCAAAAATGAACTTTTGGGACTTCATCAAGATCAAAAGCTTCAACACAGCAAAGGAAATAGTCAACAAAACAAAGAGGCAACCCATGGAATGGGAGGAGGTATTTGCAAATGACACTACAGACAAAGGGCTGATATCAAAGATCTATACAGAACTCCTCAAACTCAACACTCAAAAAACAGATAATCACGTCAAAAAATGGGTAGAAGACATGAACAGACACTTCTCCAAAGAAGACATACAAATGGCTAGCAGACATGAAAAAATGTTCATCATCATTAGCCATCAGGGAGATTCAAATCAAAACCACATTGAGATACTACCTTACACGAGTTAGAATGGCCAAAATTAACAAGACAGGAAACAACAAATGTTGGAGAGGATGTGGAGAAAGGGAACCCTCTTACACTGTTGGAGGGAATGCAAGTTGGTATAGCCACTTTGGAAAACAGTGTGGAGATTCCTTAAGAAATTAAAAATAGAAATAGTTTTTTGGGGCGAATACTGGGTATTTGCCCCAAAGATATAGACGTAGTGGAAAGACGGGCCATATGTACCCCAGTGTTCACAGCAGCAATGGCCACAATCACCAAACTGTGGAAAGAGCCAAGATGCCCTTCAACAGACAAATGGATAAAGAAGATATGGTCCATATATACAATAGAATATTACACAGCCATCAGAAAGAATGAATCCCCAACTCTTGTATCAACATGGACAGGACTGGAGGAGATTATGCTGAGTGAAATAAGTCAAGCAGAGAAAGTCAATTATCATATGGTTTCACTTACTTGTGGAGCATAAGGAATAACATAGAGGACATTAGGAGAAGGAAAGGAAAAGTGAATTGGGGGAAATTAGAGGAGGAGACGAAGCATGAGAGACTGGACTCTGAGAAACAAACAGAGGGTTTTGGAAGGGAGGAGAGTGGGGGGATGGGTGAGCCTGATGGGTATTAAGGAGGGCACATATTGCATGGGGCATTGGGTGGGGTGCATAAACAATGAATCTTGGAACACTGAAAAGGTAAAATTAAATTAAATAAGTAAATAAATAAAATTACATTAAAAATAAAATAGAAAATGTTTAATTCTTACTGAATTTATTCTGGATATTTCTCAAATACTTTCCCTAGTTTCCCTGTCCCCATTAAGACATCTGACTCAATTATTACAAATTTACTAGCTAGCCTCCTTGAATCTTGTGTTTACCCTCTTAAATCCATCCTTTTCAGTTCACACAGAGTAATGTAATCAAAATATAAATTTGTCCACCCTGCTCTCCTGCTGGACTCAAGAACTTGTCATCATTTTCACCATTATTTTCTCAGTATGTATTTCCTTAACTTCCTTTCAGCCTCATAACCTACCAACCTGTCTCTGTTTTATGATCTAATTATTATAATTTCATTGCTTCATTTCAGTGTTTCATGCTGCTTCATCCTTTGCTGTTTATGCTTTTACTGTTTTCCTTTACCTGAATTTCTTTTCCTCCTGTTTTTATCTGGTTAATTTATTCCCAGGCTTTAATATGCACCCTATGTGGCACCTCTTCCATGATAACTTCCCTGAACCATGAGATGCCTCTCAACTGTCTTCAGTAGCTCCCCATGCATAGTTTTACCTTAGTCCTTGGCTTATGTTTTTTGTCCTTCATTAGATCATTGTCTCTCTGAACAGTGGATTTCCTCTGTTACATCCCTGAACAGAGGAACATGGATATTATCTATCTGTGTTCCTCTGGTGCCTAGCACAGAGAAAGTCATATGGGAGACCCTATAATTGCAAATTGTGTATCATCTTTTGATGTGGTATTTCAAACTCTCACAAATATACAGCCATTTACAAAAAAATATTTTATTTATTTATTTGAGAATTTGAATTTATTTGAAAATATTTATTTGAAAATCAAATATTTATTTATTTGAAAGAGAGACAGAAAGAGAGACAGTAAGAGAGGCAAAACAAGCAGGGGCAGTGGGAGAGGGAGAAGCAGACTTTCCACTGAGCAGGGAGCCTGATGTGGGGCTAGATCCCAGGACTCTGGGATCAGGAACTGAGCCAAAGGCAGATGCTTAATGACTGGGCTACCCAGAGACCCCCATATTTCCATTGTATGGTTGGGAACAGAGAGGTTTTATACAAATTCTGGTTATTGTGAACTTGAGTATGCATACATATTAATGTAATTGATAAATAATATGACTTTTATTCCTATTTAGAAAATATTTAGGCACTTAAAGTTATGATCTATATAAATTAAAAGCATCTAAAGCTACACGTGAGTTCCCTGTGTTTTTTACAGTCAGAATTAAATATCCAACTATGCTACTCAGCTTTTCTTATTTTCTTTTTTTTCCCTACAGATTGCTGCCAATTCCTGGGGAAAGTCATGGGGAGAGAATGGCTATTTCAGGATTCTTCGAGGAGTAAATGAATCTGACATTGAAAAGTTGATTATCGCAGCTTGGGGCCATCTGACAAGTTCAGATGAACCATAACATATCATTAAATTTCCATAAAGCCATGCATTTAAGTAACCCCTTAAATTGAAATTAAGCAATGTGAGGTTCTCTGTGACAGTGGAATCTTTGCCTCTTCACCTTGTTATTATAATGTGACTGTTTTCTTGTTTCACCCCAGGCTCCATGCTTCTGCTTCTTTTATATCACTGAGCATATAAAAACACTAAAAGAGGACAGCAGAACAGCTAAATGCCTTTAAAGTTCTCTGGTTGTCTTTCTTTTTCTTTCATAATAATATCCTTTTTGACTTTGATAGTTCACAAAAAGTGTGACAGCACTTGTCTTAAAAGTTCATGACATTCTTTTGTAGAAATGAAGCAGTTTCCGTCTTTAACCAATGAGTATTTCAGACAAAAAACAGAAACAAAAACAACAAGCAAATAACAGAACAATGGCAACCCCAATTTACCATCTTCATGATTTTTTTCAAAGAATGTTGTCTTAATTCATGTCTTGCTTTTGATTTGCCAAAAACAATGGAAATAGATTATTAATTTTTCTCTCAATGAGCTAACATTTGTTTCTTTTCATTTGTCTTAATCTAACTTGCAATCTGAACTCAAAAGGAAAGTAACTCTCCACAAGAAATAACTATTTGTTATGGTAGTTTACTCTTTGTACTGTGTAATGGCCTGTGCTGTAAAGAAGATGGTGTCTGGGAGGGAAAATTTCCCACCACCTCTCTTGGTTCTTTTGCCCAGTCTAATAATTATATTAACATATTTACAGGAGAAAAACAAATATTTAATATATTTTTAATATATTTATTAAAATATATTTATATATTTTAATATATTTTCTATGGGTACAGGTGCCCCATAGAAAAAATGAGACTCAAACAAAGGACTGAAACAGGCATCTTTTGTAAGTCCTAGACAAAGGAACAATAAATTTGTGAAGAACTGACAAGACAAAGAAACCCAGGTTTGGGTACTAATAGGTGAGAAAGTAAGCAGAGTTTGTTTACATAGTTTTCTCAGCCCTCAATACCCTTTCTCTGATGCTGAAGATATCTATCTTCTGGTTCTGGGAGGGTACTTTTCTTTCTTTCTTTTTTTTTTTTTTAAAGACTTTATTTATTTGACAGACAGATCACAATACACAGAGCAGAGGCAGGCAGAGAGAGAGGGGGAAGCAGGCTCCCCGCTGAGCAGAGAGCCTGATGCAGGGCTCCATCCCAGGACCCTGAGATCATGACCTGAGCCAAAGGCAGAGGCTTAACCCACTAAACCACCCAGGCACCCCAGAGGGTACTTTTCACACAGGAGATTCATTTCCTTTTTTCAGGGGGACAGAGAGGGTTGTCAGGGTATCATTGTACTGGCTATTGAACTTTAATTCAAAGTGATCAATATGTCAAAGTGGCATATGCTGGGGCAGCCTGCCCTGAACCCCATCACTAGTAAGTAATGGAAAAGTTTAGAGGCTAACAAACAATGGAAGTACAGTCTTCACACACACACACACACACACACACACACACACACACACACACACACACTACCCTTATTCTTTGGAATCCAGTACACTTTGTGTAAAGTCTATTAAAACCAGTTGCAAAGCTGTATTTGGAAAGATAACATATTTACTCCACAAAACAGCCACCTGATGCCATGAGTCAGAAAGAATAAATAGACTTTTATCACAACCATTTCACAGTTCAGTACTTGAGATTCTAAAAAGTAAACTACATTGGCACTAATTTGCATCTAATTTTTATTTTAGTTCTTTATAGTCAGAAAAACAAAAATAGCGTCATTATAATTGTTGGGAAAGGATATAATCTTTTAATAATTCGCTGACATCTTAAATGGCAAACTAACAAATGAAAAAGCAAAGCTGATCAGTAAGTGAGCATGGCCGATTATAATTACAATGGTGGGATATCTGTGGCCTCCAATTTCTGGGCACCATGTCATCAGAATTTTCATTGTGGAACTTTTCTATGCTTTTGTGCCCAAAGATGCCCTGATTAGATAAACCAGACAAGCTGAAAGTGTAAAGCTGAGCACAAAAAGGTGAGTGTAGCTGCAGTTCCTTTCTCCATTAATCGCTGCAACTTCATCAGAAGCAGCATCTTCTCACTTGGTTCTGCCCTAGATTATACCCACAGGGCTGATTCACCTTGACCAAAGTTCCCCTAGAGGACTGAGAAATAATTTGATTTTGTTCCAATGTGGACTCCCCTAGAAACAGCCTCTGAGATGAAGGTTTGAGTGCACACAGTTTGAGCAGTGAAGAGAACACTGAAGAGAGTGAGTAGTGACATAGAGGCATTGAAGGCAGACAACAAAGGCTGCATTACGAAGCAAAGTGGTACCACAGGCAATGTTCATATCCCACTAGTGACAGTTCATATATTCCTCAGATAAATGTCACCCATGAAGGATGTGTGTTGGTTCAGGATTGCTCCAGAGGGCCATGAATTTCCTGTTGGTCTGGTCTGGCAGGTTGTAGTGTCAAGAAAAAACCCACAGGCAAAGAAAAGCAGGTTCTGGGAGTGGGATGTCAGGCTGATGTCCACTGAAATGGTACAGGTGAGGTGATGTGTCTCTGTCACAGATGTTAACATATTTTTAAAACATTCCTTAGATGCTAAAGACTGAGGAAATAATACATGATAATGCACTAAAATGGCAGACGACTAACCTCACTTTTAAAAGCACTTATGATTGCTGCCTATGTTCTCCACTAGGATTTTGATGGATTCCTGCCTCACATTTAGGTTTTCATCCTCAAAATAAACATTTTGAGTTTATTTTTGTGTATAATGTAAGAAAGTGTATTAGTTTAATTCTTCTGTATGTTGCTGTCTAATTTTCCCAACACCATTTGTTGAGGAGACAGTCTTTTTTTCCATTGGATATTCTTTTCTCCTTTGTCAAAGATTAGTTGATCATAGAGTTGAGGGTCCATTTCTGGGCTCTCTGTTCTGTTCTGTTGATCTGTGTATCTCTTTTAGTGCTAGTACCATACGATCTTGATGATTACAGCTTTGAAAAATAGCTTGAAGTCTGAAATTATGATGCCTCCAGCTTTGGTTTTCTTTTCAAAATTACTTTGGCTATTTGGGGTCTTTTCTGGTTCTATAGAAATTTTAGGATTATTTGTTCTAGGCTCTGTGAAAAATGCTGATGGTATTTTGATAGGGATTGCATTGAATGTGTAGATTGCTTTGGGTAGAACAGACATTTTAACAATATTTGCTCTTTCAAAAAAAAATCCATGAGCATGAAAGTTTTTCCATTTCTTTGTGTCTTCCTCAATTTCTTTCATAAGTATTCTATAGTTTTCAGAGTACAGATCCTTAACCTCTTTGGTTAGGTTTATTCCTAGGTGTCTTATGGTTTTTGGTGCAATTGTAAATGGGATCAATTTCTTGATTTCTTTTTCTTCTGTTTCAGTGTTAGTGTATAGAAATGCCCCTGACTTCTTTGCATTGTTTTTGATACCCTGCCATTTTGCTGAGTTCTTGTACTAGTTCTAGCAATTTTTTGGTGGAGTCTCTTGGGTTTTCTACACAGAGTAACACATCCTCTGTGAAGAGTAAAAGTTTGATTTCTTCTCTGCCAATTTGGATGCCTTTTATTGTTTTGTTGTTATAGATTGCTGAGGGTAACTCTTCCAGTACTATGTTGGGCAATAGTGGTGAGTGGACATCCCTGTCATGTTCCTCCCTATAGAGGAAAAGCTCTCAGTTTTTCCCCACTGAGGGTGATATTCACTGTCAGTCTTTATGATGTTGAAGTATGTTCCAGGTATCTCTACTTTGTTGAGAGTTTTTATCAAGAAAGGATGCTATATTTTGTAAAATGCTTTTTCTGTATCTATTGAGATAATCATATGGTTCTTGTCTTTTCTCCTATTAGTATGGTGTATCACATTGATTGGTTTGTGGATTTTGAATCACCTCTGCAGCCCTGGTGAATAATCCTTTTAGTGTACTGTTGGATCCTATTAGCTAGTGTCTTAGTGATCATTTTTACCTCCATGTTCAAATGGTTCAAAGGGGTGCATGAACCCCAATGTTTATAGGAATAATGTCCACGATAACCAAAATATGAAGAGGGTCTAGATGTCCATCAACAAATGAATGGATAAGGAAAATGTGATATTATATATATATATATATATATATATATACATATATATATCACTATTATATATATGTATAATATATATAATAGAATATTACTCAGCCATCAAAAATGAAATCTTTACATTTGCAACAACGTGGATGGAACTAGAGCGTATTATGCTAAGCAAAATAAGTCAGTTAGAGAAAGACAAATACCATATGATTTCACTCCTATGTGGAATTTAAGAAATAAAACAGATGAACATAGGGGAAGGTAAGAAAATTTAAATAAGAAAAACAGAGAGGGAAACAAACCATAAGAGACTTTTAACTTTAGGAAACAAACTGAGGGTTGCTGGAGGGGAGGTAAGTGGGGAATGAGGTAATTGGGTGATGTGCATTAAGGAGGGCACTTGATGTAATGAGCACTGGTGTATATGCAACTGATGAATCACTAAATTCTACTCCTGAAACTTATAATACAGTATATATTAACTAAATTGAACTTAAATAAAATAGAAAAAAAGGAAAGAATAAAAACACATATAGGACTAAGTTGATAGACTCTTGTCCTTTTTATGTGGATGGATAAAAGTTGTTGGAATTGATTTTTACACTGTGGTTTGTGAATCTAGAGTGTAGGCCTAGATTTTGTTGTTTTAAAATCTGCTACCTTTCAAAGGATCCTAACTGGTAAGGAAGCTAACCCCAGAGATTTGAAGAAAGAAAGAAAGAAGGAAAATGCCATAATTGCAAGCCCCATAAGAATACATATGATATGTTTGTCCAGTAATAAGACTACGACCTAAAAAAAAAGACAAAGGTTAGTTGGGACAGAAGTATACTAATGAGACAAGGAAAATACTATTCTTGAGATTTGTCAACACAGTGTCTTTCT